CCCGGCTGGGCCGGCTGCTGCCCAGCTCCAGGGAAACCGACCCCGTCCCAGCCCAACCAGGACAATGTGTAAGCAACAGGTGACACCCATGCACAAAGTGGCAGCAGCAGGGAACTGCTGAGAGATTTGCCTTTAGATGCAGGGACTGCTGGTGCCAGACAGGAAGGCTAAATATTGGGATGGAATGACCACAATGAAAGCAAAGCTGTGTTTTCATTTACCACATTAGGAATAGTTCTATGACCACCTGATATAAATTTGCACAAGTTAGGTAGGGTGAGTGAAAAGGTCAGGGTTTTAATTCTCATTAAACATAACAGGATGTGTGCCTCAGGAGCAGTTTTTTGTCAAGGTTTGCTCACAGGTGACCAGTACTATAAGTATGTGACAGGGTGATGTTGGCTACTGAGAAGGAGCTCCAGGGGTTAGTGCTAAGGGAGGTACTTCAGAAATGCAGTCAAGCTGACATTGGTGTTCAGCCAGTTGAATCCCATAGCACAGCATTATGATGCAGCAGCGAGGGGGGGTGGTTCTCGAATTTAATTTTTAAAGCTATACTTACATATATACTCATCTTCATTCTGGTAGACTGGCTGTGTAGCTCTAAGCATCCATATGCAAGTCATACTGTTTTGTACCTAGAGCTGCTGTGGATATAGCCAAGAATTAAGTTGTTCCTGGTCTAAAGGGCCTGCAGCAAGGGCTAGCTTTTCCTATGGCAAGCCAAACCTACTGTATTATAGCCCACATTTGGCATTTTCCTTTGGGCATGCTAACTCCCCTCTCACTTCAAAGTTTTTGCTTAGCCAGCAACCCCATCTGCAGGGAGAAGCTCATATCTCCTCATGGTCCACAGAGGTCCATACACCTTTTTTGCAGACTGTTTCTAAAAATGATGGTGCTTGCGGTGGAACATCGGAGCAGCAGATTTCAATGGGTGAGTCTGAAGGAAGCATCCCCATAGCTAATTGGTACGTGGGAAAGGGGAGGAACAGCAGAGCTCACAGGTGGTGCTCCTCACCCTGTTCCCAGCTCTAGCTGGCTGCTGCAGAGAGACCCCCCACACCATACTCTCTGGCCACACCTGCCTGCACTAGTCATGGGTCCAAGTCATGACGTGGGTTTGGCTTTAAATTCTGATTATGGACAAAATTACCTAACATTACACAAGGACAATTCAGCTGAAGCACAGTCTTTTGTGCATGCACTGCTTTCCCTAAGTGGAGGAAGGCAAGAAAAGTTCAGTGAAAGATGAGATGAGGCTGTAATAGGATTTCTCATCATCTGTCAGTCCTGCATTGCCTGGTCTGGTCACCACTGCCACGTGAGTATCCGCCTCCTCGGCCGCGCTGGCTTCTGAAACAGAGTTGGGGAGAGTGCAGGTGAGATGTGCCTACTGACCTCTCCACATGTAGGTCTTTAAGGCTTGAAGCTGCCCCAGAACACTGGAGTGCTTTTAAAGTTTGAGACAAAGAACAGCATTTGCATGTGTCACTGCAGGGTCCTCGAGAGGGGCCAGCTCCCAGAAGATCTGCTGTGGGTGGCTGTAGCTGGCGAGTAACACGAACAAATGGGAGCTGGCTGCCTTGTCATCTCCTCCCCTCTCCCAGCTGATGGCTGCCCAAGGCACCATACAGGCAGCACACACCGGCAGCTCAAACCCTGTCACGAAGCTGGGCTGTGGAGTTAGGGAGTCCAACACCCCCACAATGGGAGTCGCTTCTCACAAGGTTACTTTGTTCCTTGAGCACAGCAAGAAGCCACAGGAAGATGATACAGGGAAAAGGAGGTAACTGCATGCTCCCACCAGCTCAGCTGCCACATCTGGTGAGGAGGTGAGGGCTAACTCCTGGGGACTGAGATCACAACCCAGTGCTATTTCTGCCAGAAAGAATTTGCTTTCTTTCCAGCAAAGGTAGGAAATTCAGTTACCATCCTGAGACCGTCTTTCCAGGGATCATGTCTTGGCCATGAGGAGCAACATTTTCCTGTTGCTGAACACAACCTAAGAGCAAGTGGCACAAAGAGCCAGCCACCATGGGTGCCACGCAGCAGCACAGCAGACACTGCCTGTTCCCCCCAGCACAGGTCATGAAAAACACTGACCCTGTTTGTAAACGGGGCGTGCTAACTGCTTCAGCAAATGCTCCACTCCCCTCTAACAGTCTCTCCTTGCTTGCTGGTGCAAGGGCAGGGTTTCTCCTCGCCCTGTCTCCCCTCCTTGCAGTGAGGCTCACGGATAGGCCGCTGCCGCGCGAGAGCCTGGACGTGCAAGGAAGGAGCAGAGCAGCAGCTGGGGGGAAGCCAACAAAGCAAGGGGGTGAGCACCTGCCCCCCTCACACAGGCAAGAGCCAGCAGGACTGGCAGGCCACCTACCTCGAGGGACATCCGTCAAGAAGAGGATGTTGTTGGTGGCACACCCAATACTGGCAGCAATCCTTCTGTAGCTCTCGCTTTCTACCTTGGGGCCTATTTTGGTATCAAAGTGGCCATCAAAGAGCTGGAAAAGAGTGAAAAGCAAAAGCAGTTGCTGAGTGCCACCCAAAGAGCAGGGCTAAACCTCACTTCTGAGCGAGATGTCCCCCTTCCTTTCTACCACAGTAATGGGGGGGCTGATGCAGCCATGCTAACGTCCTCAACTCACTGAGCTTAACTCCCACAGTACAAACCCCCTGTCCCACAGGTTTTACCCACTCCCATCACACACCAGCCTCTGGGAAGATTGCAAGATACAATGGGCTGCTAAAAACTACGCTGAAAGGTGTGGGGGAGGAACTTTCAAACACTGGGAC